CACATAACAAGAAGACTTAGGAGGACCTACTGCAGTGACAAGTTTCACTGTGTGGCCTGTGCCTCTGCAAAGAGGTTCCAGGGTTTCGGGGCTGAACACAGCTTAGCTGCTCCCTCATCAAAGCCCAGTCCTGCTAGAGGGTCACCTCCGTTCACCCACACACGTATGGATGGCCACCCCCCCTTGATCAGCCCTCAAAGGTATAAAGCTTTACCCTCTGGTCATCCTCCCACTGCTGCCGCTCCTCCTCTGTGTCAAATGAAATTCCTTCTTCGCCATCCTCGCGTCTTCCTGAAGAAGTACAGGAAGCAAGTCAGTCCACGCCTGTCTTATCCAGTGGTCACAGACAGACCAGGGCAGTCACATGGCTCCAGAAGCAGGCCTCCATTTAGCCTTACTACAATGGGCAATCCTGCTCTTCTGCCCCGACCCCTAGTCCTTACCTCGGCCCCTGGAGAGACGTGGAGTGGACCCCAGATGTCTTCTGTCATCAGCCCATTCGTTGTATTTGTAGGAAGGAGTTGGTAGAGGTGTGTCATCTGAGTACTTGCTCCTCACAGACCTGGGAAACCACAGAATAGGCATCACAAAACCATCCCTGAGCTAAGCCATGCTCCCCTGGCTGCCATTTGATCTCCATGCCCAGACACCTTATCATCCACCCAGACAAACTGGGCTGCTCTGCCCAGAGCATCACCTGTCTCGATCTCGAGTGGACAGACGATGGCTCCGCTCAGAATCCCGATAGGAAGGCGTTGGGGAGGGTGATTCCCACTGCGAGCGCCTTGAGGTGCCATAGCCACTGTCCTCTTCCTCCCAGGTAGACCTTGATGGGGTGGCAGCATCTGGGGCCACAAAAGACATATCCACAGAAAACGTAATTTATCCAAGACATGGCTCTAGAACCAGCAGCCAAAAGTTAATACCCCAAATTTACTCCTTTTACTATTTATAAACCTCGTACTTATTTGTAATGGGTAAAATGATTTTGAGAGTTCTTTTAACAATCTGAATTTCAACAATCCAGTTTTCAATCTGAGTTTATGACATTTTAAGAAATAGTCAGTTTATCTCTGCAAACACATTTCTCTTGAATATAAATAATTATTTTTAATTTTAATCCTTCTGTCCCCAGCTCCTTATTCTTTCCTGCCATTTGGAAAATGGGTCATTCAGCAAAGCAGCCTCTCACCTTAAAAAAAGATACCCACCTCAGTGAAGAAGCACAGGGCTATGCCCACCTGACTCAGAGCCAAGTATTCCAAGAGGTTCACGGTAAAATCAGGAATTTTCACTAATGCCTTCGCAATCCCACTGAGGATGGGAATCACTCATTGGTCTTTTATAGACTTGAATCCTCACAAACCACCACAGAAAACAGCTAAGTCTACCTTTAGGGCGATGCCGTGGGCTCTCAGGTTCATTTCTTCTGCTGCTGCTGCGCTCTGACCCTCCATCTCGCTCCGATCTGCTGCTATGTCTACTTCTATCCCGCTCATCTATGAAGAGTCACACAGAGAACTTAAAACTGGGTGTCCTGCCTTAAGGTACACATCCATCTTCACCCTAGAGAAAGGACACACCACCCACTCATTCACAGGTACAACCTGCAGTTTCCTAATGAGATCCGTGGGCTCCTGAAACACATATGCCCATTCTTTCAGAGGAGAAGATAGTTACTAGCTAGAAAGTTTTAAACCCACAGTAATAGTTCTTTTCCTCCAAGAATTCAAAAAAGAATAGTTATAATAGTAACTATGGTAAGTATTTTAACATTTACAAGTCTATAAGCTATCAAGCAATTTCTCTATCACCAAACCATTATAAACTCCGGTTTCCTACATATATTACCCATTATCTCCTTTGACACCAATTTTCATAAATCAAGAACCACATACTCAAGCAAAGCATCTATGTTACAAGCAACAGCTCTTTTCTTAAACTGCTTGCTATTCCCAACACCAATATGGTCAAAACCAATCAGGCTGACATAATGTAAATGGGGATGCAAATGCTCAATTAATGGGCATTGTAAAAACTCCTGCAACAGGAAAAAGGCTGCCACATTTATTCAATGTAAATAGCAACTGGACAGTTTACCTCTGTCCCTCTTGCGGTCATAGTCTCGATCCCGTGATTTCTCCTTCTTCCGATCCTTTTCTTCTTTGGACGAGGCATAGACACCATGTTCCCGACGCTCTCGTTCTCTCTGCCGACTGCGTTCCCAAAACTCTTCACTTACACCACCAGGGTGGGATGGAGTCTCTACCCGAGCAGATCGATAATGTCTGAAACACAGAGGGCAATGGTAAAGGCTGTTTCACAGGAGGAAAACCTTGCCCCAAAACCTTTGGGTATGCCAAACAAGTGATCTGTCCCTTCTCCATTTTACCTCCCTGCTACTGCAGGCCTACATATGGCAACAACTCAAGGCATTTCTAACCTCCATCATCTACTCTCTAATCACCTTTGAATTGTTTCCCATAAATTTGAAGAAAATACCAATTCCTACCTACCTTCAATATTATAGAATCATAATAAAATAATAAAGCTCTAAATGTCCAACAGGAAAACAGAGATAAACATAAGATGTTATTTTCTGGCCTCCGTTTGCTTCCCTTGGGCTAATGTATCCTAAGGCCTTTACCTGTCCTTCCGGCTATTTTGGCCAGCCTGGTCACCGCCCTCTTCCTCAGCATCTCTCTGGTCATCTTTGCTCTCTTCCCAATCCTTGTAAGAAGAGACTCTGGACTTCTTCTTGTCCTCCCCATCGTCCTTCTCTTCTCGTTCCCTCCGTTTCAGGGAAGCCAGCAAGTCCAGTCCCAGTAATGAAGGGCGAGGAGCAGGAGCCTTGAAGACATGCTGCTCACTGGCCGCACTTTTGGTCTTGCAAATAAGACCACCGACCTGAGAGTCCAGATCAGTGCCTTCCAATCTATGGATCGAGACATCCTCATTGGTATCCCCCATCACAGGCTCAGGAATTTCTCTAGAATGAAGGCAAACCAATTTGGTATTGGGTACAAAAGGGGAGAAGGCTCTGCCATATCCCAGAATAACTGCAGTTACAAGTGTATTTAGGTGGTTAACCTTCTCCTTCCCTCCAAAACGAGGACTACTTTTACTACCGTTCACTAAGAGCATTCCATCAAGTTACTGACAATTCCAAAAGACCCTCCTATTCCCTTCCCAACAGACACCAAAATAGACATACACACACACACACACACACACACACACACACACACACACACACACCCCACCACCACCACCATCACAACCAAGATCCAAGAGAGCATCATCCAGACAAGAAAAAGCCTCACTAAGGGACACTTACTAAAGCCTGATGGCATCTATGACAGAAGTATAGGAGAAACACCATTAAATTTGAGTCAGAAACCAGGTTCTTGACATTTTCTACCTGTATGATGGGAAGAAAATAACTTAATCTTTGGTTAGCCATAATTCTATATCTGTAAAATAGAAATAATTTTTGCTTTGTCTAATCTATGAAGCTGTTGTGAGAATCAAACAAGAAAGTGTATGTGAAAGCACTCTGTAACCATAAAGAGTTACATACGTGTAACTGTAACATTATTTTATCTGGCATGTTTCTACCTACCGATTGGTTCCTCACCAATTTTTTTTTTTTTTTTTTTTTTTTGAGTTGGAGTCTCACTCTGTCACTCAGACTGGAGTGCAGTGGCCACTCCCGGACACCGCAGCCTCGACCTGCTGGGCTCCAGCAATCCTTCCACCTCAGCCTTCCAAGTAGCAGGAACTACAAGCACGCGCTACCACGGCCGGCTAATTTTTATTTATTTATTGTAGAGATGAGGTCTTGCCAGGTTGCCCAGGCAGGTCTCGAACCCGCGGGCTCAGGCAATCTACTCACTTCAGCCTCAAAGCACTGGAATTACAGGCTGAGCCACCGAGCCCAGCTACCAATTTTTTTTTTTTTAAACATGAGTTCTACCTCTCCCTCTCTTTAAACAACAAATACATCAGAGTAGAGATGGATTACAAGACTACTATCCATGTACTCCATACTTTGATGGCTTTTTTTTTTTTACTAGTTGTGTTTTACAGAAAAGTAACTCACACCTGCTGAAATCAGTTGAACAATCCATGTTCACCAAAATATTTGTGAGAAAGACCAAGTTAGGAAATGGTGTTATTGACTATAATGGTGTTAAGTGGTTATAAGACTTCTGGCACTCAACTTGCAACAAATTCCTCTTTACTTTCCACTACAACATCCCACTTATGAACATAACCTATTCTGGATGCTTGGATAATTTCTCTCATTCCAATAAGTTAGTACAGCAAAGGAAATGTCACGGATAAGGTACCACTAGAATCCAGAATTTTTTGCCAAGTTTTAATTAAATGCACAGCTTTAGTGAAGTATTGCCAAATAGATTTCACATATGATATAAACACATAAATCAGTTACATTTTGCCATCACGCAAAATAGAAAAGGGAAAGCTGCATAATGGTGACATCTGTCCACACATGTGGAAATCCAGATAGGCTCTGCTCAGCAGTTGTCTAACTAAGAAATATACCTTAGAATGCCATTCGATGTGGGTGAGAGAACCTTGTACATGTTATTGACTGCTATAGTCTAATGCCTAGCCAAATAAATGTTTGATAAAAGAATGAATGAATTTAAACTTTATTCAAGAACAGGAAGCCAACCATTTCTAGAGACAGCAAGGGAAGACAGCAGTAACACAGGACAAGGAGTCTGACAGAGAGGACTAAACGAGCTGCTGAAAAAAACAAATTAGGAGTTAAAGAACAAGATTCTGGAGAATGATGAATGGTAAAGTAACTACAAGGGGTACGAGTAAAATAGTGAAGTCTGAAACAGGGAGGGCAATGGTAAAGGCTCTTCCACAGGAGAAAAACCTTGCCCCAAAACCTATGGGTATGCCAAACAAGTGACCTGTCCCTTCTCCACTTTATTTCAGGCCCTCCCTGAACCAATCTCTGTTCTCGGCAATAGGGATAGAGAACAAAACAAAATCCCCGCCCACCTGGAGCTGAGAGTTGACTCTAGCAGAAGTGATGGCCCACCAGATTGCCTGGTAGAGGCAGAAGACTTTGAGAGAGAAGAAAACACTAAGAGCTCTACTCGGCTCCGCGACACTCGGGAGTGGGCTAAAGCGGAGGCCTGAGGGAGGGCGCAGGGCGACTCTGGGCAGCATCCCTGGATCGCAGCGAGGCCGCTCCAGGCAGCAGAATCTGACCAGAGCAAGGAGGAAGGCCGGGGCAAGCAGGAGAGGCGCGGCATCCCTAAGGTGAGTAAGGCAAGGTGGGTGACAGGAACGAGAGAGGAACTTTCCAAACCGGGGCCCGGACCTGAGCAGGAGACCAACATCCGCCGCCTGGAGCCACCATTATTGGCGAGAGGCCGGTCAGGAAAAAAGAAGGGACACTCACCTCACCAACCGCGACTCTTGTGACCCTTCTGTCCTGGATTCTGGGGCTCCGGCGCTGCCAACCCTCGTTCAGACGGCCTCAAGGAGCCAAAATCCACATCTTGAAAGCGGCCATTATTGTCCCCTAATTCCTTGCGCGGCCCCCTCTATCCGTCCAAAGCTACCATCGAGAGCAGCTTGGGAAAATATCTGAATCCAAGTGTGGAACAGAACGCACCCAGGCTCTCCAGGCCTCCTCTGAGACGCAGAGACGCTGCCGAGTCTCCCTGTGACCAATCACACTTAATCTAAGAGGCGAAAACCCGCCTCTAGTTTGGGGGACAGAGAAAGGAGGGTAAAAGTCGGCCATGTTTAATAAGGGCGGAAGTGACGCGAGCTTCCGGTGGAGTCGGGCAAAGTGGGCGGTGACTAAAATCTCTTCTGTTTATTGGGCTGCTAGGCAAGGGCGACCGGCCGCCGAAGTTTCTTTGAGCTTGTGCGTCTTCCTTTTCCGCTTCCCTCAAGTGGGTCAATGAGGGTTGCTAGGCAACAGCCCCTGGGTTACTTTAGATGAGAGTTGCCGCCCCGCTTCAGTTCGAAGAAAGGAGCTCCCCGCGTCCTGACGCTTTCGAGGAGGCGTTGCTGATGGGTTGCTGATGGCCCTGTAGTGGAAAGGAGTGAGGTGACTTGGACGAGTAAAGTAAGTGTCGTCGTCCTAGCACTTGTGGTCCAGGAGAAGCGCAACCATAGACAACTTTTAAAATATGTATCTCGGCCGGGCTCGGTGGCTCAGCCTGTAATCCCAGCACTTCGGGAGACCGAGGCAAGTGGATTGCCTGGGCCCGCGGGTTCGAGTCCAGCCCGGGCAACTTGGAGAGACCTCGTCTCTACAATAAATCAAAAATTAGCCAGTCGTGGTAGCGCGCCTGTAGTTCCGGCTACTTGGAAGGCTGAGGTGGAAGAATCACCTGAGTCCAGCAGGTCGGCGCTGGGGTGGCCGTGAGTGTGCCACTGCACTCCAGCCTGGGCGACAGAGTGAGACTCCAACTCAAAAACAAACAAACAAATAAATAAATG